GAGAGAGCAAATTCCAGTGTGGAGAGGAAACATGAAGACGTCCAGCAGGACGCTGTGTAGATTGTGCTCACTGGCAGGAAGGTTGTCAACATGTTTTAAATGATTTTTATAGGAATGCGGTCGTGTGGACTAGACACATGTGCTGCCTTATCCTCATAGGTGTCAGGCTTGTTCTATGAAGTTTTACAATAACAATGTCATTTTGTAATAAGATGTGGTGTTAGATAGGATTAATTAACTTAATTATAATGAACTTGCTGATCTCCTACCATTTGTTAGGGAGTCGTCTGTGCACTGTGCTCCGACAATGAGTGACACATGCAGCTCACTTTCTGGAGCAGGGAAGAAACGTTACAGAAAGCAGGTGAAATGTACAGAATGTGATGGTGTGAAATTCTACAGTTTAAAATGAGAGAAGAAGGGTATTGAGGTTTCCAGGGGGAACAAGTTGCAATTTAAAATTGAGAAATCAGCATAGCTTTCAGTGGCAAAGGGAAGTTTTGCAGAGACCCCAGGACCTGGCGTGCAAAGCAGGTGGTAGTCTGGGCAAACTGCAGAAGCCGTGTGACGGAGACAGCCCGGCCCAGTGGACAGTTAGGAGCACTATGCAGAATTGCAGCAAGGACCATGTGACTTCAAGTCAGTGGCAGTCACAGGAACCCAAGGAAGGTTGCCTGGCCATTGTGCTCTCAATCTTAATATGTATCCTGCCCTGTCTAAAGAAGAGGTCGAGCTGGGACCATTTCTCTGTCAGACATAGACCCATCTATACTCCCTAAGATCTGTACTGGGTTCCCCAGCTGCGCAGTGTCTCCGTGGGATTCCTGGGCTGCCTCTTTGGACAGGCAGAGCCTCAGTCCCAGGCCAAGGCCTGCTCAGAATCTGCATGAGGTGGATGGGGGGAACACCTGCTCCTTCCTCCTGTGGTCTGAGCACTTGTGGTTGGTGTTGCTGGTCACAGAAGTATCTGGGCCATAAGATGATTTAATCAAGAAAGGTGACTACTCATTTGAAACACTGTCTCTTTGTGTGAAGCCTGTAATCTCTCTGTCCCACTCAAACTCCTTGGGACATTTTAGCAATGACCACCCGCTACGAGTAGCCATGGATGGAATATAGTTTCTTTCTCAAACGTGTGTTTGGAATTCACTGGTTACAACTACCAGATCCAGAGTAAATACGAGGGGCTCATGCTGGACTCCTCCCCGGGCTGTGTGGTATGTCCTGAAAGGCCGTTTGCAGAACACGTTGTACAAGTGCTCAGCGTCAATGGGAATCAGGGGAGAAAAAAAAGGACAGACAGGAGGAAGGGTCACATCTCACCCCAACAAGATGTCAGCCTGGCCCTCAGGGACACTGGGCTCAGGCAGTGACCCTGTCCTCCTGGAGGGGAGGAGGAAGACAGGCTCAGGAAGGTGCAGACCCCACCTGTGCTGTGCCTGGTGGGGAGGCTGCAGGTGGAGGCAGGACAGCAGGGGGCGCTGTGGCTTTCCGGGCAAATGCTCTGAGCATCCCAGAGGGTGCTCCTGGTTCATTCCCTTTCCCCAGACCTGGTTTCCTGCTCACCCGCTGATGTGCCAGATATTTGGGGTATCAGAGCCTCAGCGCTCTGCAGCAGCGACAGGAACTGAAGGTTTCTGATGAAATGTTTTTTCTCTCTTCATTTTTCCCGTTGCCCCTTTGAAGCTGTATTTTCCAAGCAGAATCAGGTTCTCAGCAGCTTGAAGGCAAGCCAGGAGAGTGCACGCTGCAAAGTGCAGAGGAGCATTTGTGCATGTGCGTTTTCTAGGAGTGAAGACAACTCTATGGATGTGGAATCCAGGTCTTGGTACACGTGGCTGGGAGGTGTGTTTAATGAGGACATCCCAGTGTAGACTGCTGCTCTTTCTGTTCCACGTAACCTGTGTTCGCTAACCACTGATTTCCGTCTTAAAGCTGCTTCAGTGGATCTCATGTAACCCTGTGTCTTAAAAGGCAAATATATAATCTGGGATTGTTTAAAGAATGATCTCCAATTCTTTAGCACAGAGGATGGTGGTTTTTCCTGAGAAGGAAAGATTTTGTGACTGCATGAACTTTAAGCTGACACTGATTATTTGTCCAGTACATGGGAGTTCCTTGATAGTGGATCCAGAGAAAGTGAGGCCGAGTGAAAAGGCAGAGCAGTGGACGGGGAGATCTGTGTTGTCATTTGGACCTTCATTTCAATTTGGGTCTCAAGCCCAAATTCCTGTTTGAAATTCCTAGAGTTAGGAATTTTATTTTGTTTGAAACTTTGATTTAGGTTTCTGATACGTGTGTCCCACGTATGTTGACATAGACACACATCACACATTATAGAGGCGTAAACACAGAGAGCTTGTTAGAAGGCATTTATTTTGGGATGAGGAAAGGAAACGGAGGAAACAGTGCAGGAGTAACAAGGATGTCTTTAACTCTCAAAGTAAATTTTGAGCTTATTTTCATCTGCAAGCTCAGCGGCAGCATCTTAAACGAAGAAATCCGCAAAACCCAGATGGGCGTTCTCCGAAAAAACAGATTACCCCTCTGCAAACGCAGCGTGCGCCTCTGCCTGAGCCTGCAGACACACAGAGAGAATCAGAAATCGATCACCAGGGTCAGCAGTGGGTGGTAAAGGGAATGTTGGGAAGTCACGTTCTGGCTGATGGGTAATGTTGGCTGCATTAGGACCAGTAGCACGAACATCCTCCGTCAATAGGAATAAATACACAGAGCAGTGCTGGTCACACAGGATTCTATTCACTCATTCTCCTTTGCTCTCATTTCTGTGCTTCTGCCCCATTACACACACAGCTGAACACACTCTGCGGCTTGGCTCTGCTTTNTGGAGGGGAGGAGGAAGACAGGCTCAGGAAGGTGCAGACCCCACCTGTGCTGTGCCTGGTGGGGAGGCTGCAGGTGGAGGCAGGACAGCAGGGGGCGCTGTGGCTTTCCGGGCAAATGCTCTGAGCATCTCAGAGGGTGCTCCTGGTTCATTCCCTTTCCCCAGACCTGGTTTCCTGCTCACCCGCTGATGTGCCAGATATTTGGGGTATCAGAGCCTCAGCGCTCTGCAGCAGCGACAGGAACTGAAGGTTTCTGGTGAAATGTTTTTTGTCTCTTTATTTTTCTCGTTGCCCCTTTGAAGCTGTATTTTCCAAGCAGAATCAGGTTCTCAGCAGCTTGAAGGCAAGCCAGGAGAGTGCACGCTGCAAAGTGCAGAGGAGCATTTGTGCATGTGCGTTTTCTAGGAGTGAAGACAACTCTATGGATGTGGAATCCAGGTCTTGGTACACGTGGCTGGGAGGTGTGTTTAATGAGGACATCCCAGTGTAGACTGCTGCTCTTTCTGTTCCACGCATCCCGTGTTCGCTAACCACCCATTTCCCTCTTAAAGCTGCTTCAGTGGATCTCATGTAACCCTGTGTCTTAAAAGGCAAATATATAATCTGGGATTGTTTAAAGAATGATCTCCAATTCTTTAGCACAGAGGATGGTGGTTTTTCCTGAGAAGGAAAGATTTTGTGACTGCATGAACTTTAAGCTGTCATTGATTATTTGTCCAGTACATGGGAGTTCTTTGATAGATGATCCAGAGAAAGTGAGGCCCAGTGAAAAGGGAGAGCAGTGGATGGGGAGATCGGTGTTGTCATTTGGACCTTGGTTCCAATTTGGGTCTGAAGCCCAAATTCCTGTTTGAAATTCCTAGAATTAGGAATTTAATTTTGTTTGAAAATTTGATTTAGGCTTCTGATACGTGTATCCCAACTATGTTGACATAGACGTACATCACACATTATAGAGATGTAAACACAGAGAGGTTGTTAGAAGGCGTTTATTTGGGATGAGGAAAGGAAACTGAGCAAGCAGTACAGGAGCAACAAGGATGTCTTTAACTCTCAAAGTAAATTTTGAGCTTATTTTCATCTGCAAGCTCAGCGGCAGCATCTTGGAAGAAGTAATGGGCAGTACCCAAATTGGCGTTCTCTGGAAAAACAGCGTACTGCTCTGCAAACGCAGCGTGAGCCTCTCCTTGAGCCTGAAGACACACAGAGAGAATCAGAAATTGATCACCAGGGTCAGCAGTGGGTGGTAAAGGGAATGTTGGGAAGTCACGTGCTGGCTGATGGGTAATGTTGGCTGCATTAGGACCAGTAGCACGAGCAACCTCCGTCAATAGGAATAAATACACAGAGCAGTGCTGGTCACACAGGATTCTATTCACTCATTCTCCTTTGCTCTCATTTCTGTGCTTCTGCCCCATTACACACACAGCTGAACACACTCTGCGGCTTGGCTCTGCTTTTTAAAAGCTATTCCATAAATAGAGCAAAATATTCTCCACGTAATTAAGTCCACTTGTTGAGATCCAGAAAGAACCAGTCAGACTGTCGCTTCATATCTTAAACCTACTGAATTTCACAGACGTATCCTGGAATCAAGTCTTTATTTTTTACTTCTGTTCTTTTTCTAAAGTGAAAGGATTATTTAAAAAGCAAAGGAATAAAAGAATGCCTACACGACAGGCAGAGCAACCTCAAGTCTGTTGGACGTACTTGGCTCTCTATTCGATTTATCGATGAGAAAAGCAGGGCCCCGAGCTGCTAAGTAAAGCCACCTCAGTGACATCCGCCACTGAGACTCGATTCCAGAGCCCATTTCCTGTGTGTCCCTCTAGACTCTGCAGCTCTGTGTGCTGGCCTCTCTCACCTGAAAGCTGACGTGCGGCACCTTCATCCCATGCAAAGGAAACAGAGGCTTCCTGAGCGTCTGCTCCAGGCTGCTCCTGGGCTGCAAGCTCGTCAGCTCTTGCCTGGAGTGGCTCCGCCTGGGCCCGCAGGACCACCAGGAGAACGGCGGCAGCGAGGAGGGCCAGGGTCCTCATGGCTGGGTGACCTGGAGGAGGGAGAGCAGGAGTGGATGTGTGGGGAGTGAGGAGTTAGCCTGCACTTATAGCTCTGCAGGGAGAAGGCTAGAGACAAGGAGCCTCGAACTGTCTGAGTGAGCGCAGGTGTGCGTTTCGTTGGAGACTGTGTGGGACCCCGCTGGTCTCCATGTCCCTCTTTTCCTCCTTTGCTCTCCCAGCTTTCAGTCTAGTGTGAATCTCTGTGTGTAGTGTCTGCGCTGGGTTTAGAAGATGGTGAGAATCAGGATCCTGGCATCTCTTTCCTGTTTCTCACTTCATTAAATGTTTACTTTTTAATATTCAAGTAAAGGATAACAGCAGTGCTTTTGTTCAGTAAGTTCAGGGAACAAAGGTCTCATTTTCTGCAGATGGCCCCACTACCGTCTGTAGGTCTAGACTCTGGCAGCAGGCATGAATTCCTATCAAGTGAAGAGCCCTTTGTTGCAGGCGTCAAAGGCATTACCACCCTCATGAAGTTATGGGGTGAGTAGCCTCCTGTAGGGGCCAGTGTGAAAAGGACAATGACCCTGTCAGGCTATAGGTGACATAAGCCCAGTGACATAGAGTTCATCTACAGCCAAAAGCTTCTTTCCAGCTCTACTGAGATCTGAATAAGAATTAAACCTTATATATATCTACTGCATAGCCCCTTATAATTTGATGTTCGTATACATGTGGCCCTTTGTCATATACTATATACACAAATCAACTGAAAATGTCATGACCTAAACGGGTATATGAAACCATAAAATCAGAAGAGGAACATATGAAGGTAAAGCTTTGACACTGATGCAGGTAACCATTTCTTGGCGATGACACCAAAGGCACAGGCACTGAAAGGGAGAAGAGACAGATGGGGCTGCATTGAACGCTGAAGCATCTGCACGTCAAAACAAGCCACTGAATGAAAAGGCAACCCAGAAGATGAGAGAACATATTTGCAAACCATAAGTGGTGGAAGGGATAGATATCCAAATACATAAGGAAGTCAAACAACTCAACAGCAAAAAGCAAATAACCTGATTGAAAAACAGGCCAAGGACCTGCAGAGGCTTCTCTCACAAGAGCAGACTGTTCTAAGGAGCGGTTATTGTGTCTATTGGACACGTCAAGTAGGACAGGTGTATTTAGAAAGATATTCTTTGAGTTTGTCTATTAACTTAGCTGGTAGCCACGGCCCCCAGCAGCCACCAAAGGCTCAGACAGAAGTGCACAGCAGGGCATTCACTGCTGGGTCCCTCTTGGGTGGCCTGAGAGTCACAGGTCATATTGGGGACACAGCTTCAGCGTTGAAACCTCAATGTGAAAGTGGAAGTTTTGTGTTACTTACAGATCCTCAAGCTAGGCAGAGTGACCAGAGAGGGCAGACAGCAGTCGGTTGTCCCGGGCCTCCTGTAGCAAGAGCAGCCGTGCACAGACAGGAGAGGACTTCCTATTTAAGGTTCATTTGGGATCAGGTGTCCTAATATCCGGGGTTACTTTCTGTTAAGTGCATTATTCAATAACTCCGGTGGCAAGGGCAGTTGAGAAATTCAGTGGGAAGCTGGGCTCCAAACAGGAGTCCACAGAGGGACTGACCCCTCATCTACCTTGCTCAGCCCTGGCCAGGCCCAGGCAGCAACCAACTATGGATTCTCCATGACTCCTAAGACATTGACCCTGTGATACCTGTGCTGGAAGCTGAGGCTGAACTACCTGGACCCAGGGAAAGTTTAAAGCCTCCAGGAAAGGCCAGCTTGCCTATTATAGTGTACACTCTGTAAGGAGACTAGGGAAAAAGTGCCAGCCTACACACTGAGGAGGATTTGGGATTTTGCTCTGAATCAGCCTCTGCAGGCCCTGGGGTCTAACCATAAAAACACACCAAAGCCATTCAGCCAAGCCGAGACGTGGTGAACACCTGGGTGAGGCTGAAGAGCGGGTCAGGTTTGTTGGACTCTCCTGAGATGAGCGAGTGCACGCAGCACATGGTGTCCCACGGGGAACAGATACCTCCTTGCCTGGCAGTGAGATGCTTCAAGACTTAACAATTGTCTACGAGTAAGAGTTAAAGTGTTTTCCATAATCTTAAGGTGGGATGAGGCGTCTCAGGTCTCATTAGGGGTGATCGCTGTTGCAGAGCAGTGGGGTCGGCTGTCACTCTCAGGAAGTAGTGAGTTCCTGACCTGCAGCTGGCCCAGGAATTTCACCATTCGAGGAAGTTGGCACTGGTCTCGTCCCAGCAGAGGGACAAATTAGGGCGAAATGGGGAACTGGGACCAGGAAGTGGTTTTAGGTTCTAGGGCATTAGTAGGTGCCCTGTAAGGACCCAGTGGATGTGGATATAGAGGAAAAATGAGAAGGGGTGGTGTGGACGTGGGGAAGGTTCCAAGGTTGTGGGAACATCCCATGACCTGCAGAAGTCAAACCTGGACCAGCCTCCTGCACGCAGAACATCCCAATCCACAGACATTGTCTCAGTAACACATGAGAGAGGTATTCCTGGGAGAGCTGGTTAGATTTGGGTGTGGTGCTGATACACGTAAGTCTCAGAAGTCCGTATGTTTTGCCTAACTTGTAGGGCTGCCTCACGATCTGACTTAGGCCCTTTGGTTTCCTTGCTATTGGAGATAGAGCTCATGGGGTCACACTGAAGGCAAATGGTGATCTCAGCAAAATACCATTGCACTGGGTCACCTGCAGAGCACTCAACAAAGCCTGAGCTAAGGAAGGAGTATGGCAAGGTTGGAGTATGTGCCGAAAACCAGCGCCATGTGCTGAGGTGGGGAACGTAGCAGGAAGGAGTAGAGGGTATCCTGTAGCAGTGAGGAGAGGCTGGTTTGTTTCTGACCCCGCAGTCAAGGCGAGGTTCCTTGGTGTCTCCAGTTCCAGCAAGGCCATTGCCTCTCTTGACGACTCCTTGGGCATGGCCCTGTTGTCTGAAACACATGACTATTCCCATGGGGGTGTCCTTCCCAGGTGTCCAACCATGAAGGGAAGTGGGGGTCTGGGCATTTGCTTCAGTGCTGCTGTCGCACAGGCTGTTAGCCCTGTGAGTCTTCAGGCTTCAGGGAAGCATTCAGCGCAAGCCTGGGCTGTGTTTTCCTTAGTGGTGTGGGATGTTTCCATCCACAACTCTTAGACACCAGAGCACATGCACATCCTGGAGCCCATGATTATTCTGCAAGCTCTCTGCACGTGAGGCTCCAATGTGCAACTGCAGCCTGGGTTTGGGCTGCAGTGTTGTTGGCCAGTTTGAATTCACACCTGGGCATTCTTTGCAAGGGCCGCCTATGGTCTTCTTCTCCTTCTTCTTCTTCTTTTTTTTTAAAGACAGAGGTTCACTCCTGTTGACCAGGCTGGAGTTCAGTGGCACAGTCTCGACTCACTGCAACCTCTGCCTCCCAGGTTCAAGCAATTCTCCTGACTCAGCTTCCCCAGTAGCTAGGATTACAGGCTTGCATCACTGCACCCAGCTAATTCTGTATTTTTAGTAGGGACAGGGTTTCTCCATGTGTGCCAGTCTGGTATCAAACTCCTGACCTCAGGTGATCCACCTGCCTTGGCCTCCCAAAATGCTGGGATTACAGGGTGAGCCACTGTGCCCTGCCCACCTGCTGGTTTTTTAAAATGTTATTTGTGATTGTGAGGGCTACTGGTGTTTGAGCTCAATACCACTGGACCCATTTGTTATGTAAACACTGAGTTGCCAGCATTGGACTGAGGTCTGGTGGCATGTGGGGCACCAACCCTCGAGCACAGGATTCTAGCACTCGCCAGCTTTCCAGCGTGGGGTGCAAGTTCTGACCAGGGCAGTCCTGTTCTAGCAGCTTTTGGGCTTCGAACCCTGAGTCTGACAGTAGCCCCACAGCCATGGGAACATAAGATACCAGACAAGATCAACCATAAAGAGCACTGACATCTTATAACTCAGGGCTTACTTCCAGATGCTTCCATATTGACATCCATCATGGGGTAAGCTTTCACCAGCATTTCTTCAGAGTCTTTCTCCACCATGACACAGGCTACGTTTGGGAATGATACATCCATGTGGTCATCAGCTAATGTAGTCTATGTTCACTAGCTTGAAGGCTTCTCTTTGTTTAGTGACGCAGTCTGTGCGCGGGTCTTGGAGCAGTAATCCCTACACCTCCAGGGAGGGGTGAGTGGGAGACATTAGCTACCTTTCCAAGTAGTCAGAACTGGAGCTTCTGCTGGAAGCAGCACGTCAAGATGGGAGTCGTGGTGTAGAAGAAGCATTTTGGGCCTGCTGGGTGCATTTGGGCCTGGGCCTTCAGTCCTCAGGGGATCATAGCGTGCTATCCATCCACAGTGTGTCGTCCAGTGAAAGTTTGATGTTGAGATGATGGACCTCTTCTGACAATAAGAGGCGTTCTCATGATTGGAGAAAATGGGAGTGATGTTATCTCTAAGGGAAAAAGAACCTGAGTCTTCTGTGATTACCAAGGTGTTCACCATGGTGGGTCTGCCTAATTGGGCTGAGTCGCTTATAGCTGTGAGGTAGAGAATTAAGACAGTTAGGACTCTCAGTAGGAGCTTGGTCCCCTTGGGGTTCCACAGCCCATGCCACAGCTTCAATCGGAATGACTTTAAGAGGCCACTGTGCTGCTTGAGGAGGCTGGTGGCTTGGGGGCGATGGGCCAAGTGAGAGTTCCCTAAACTCTCATGCTGTGACGCCCATTCCTATGTCATTGCTGCCTTGAAGTGAGAGCCTAGGTCTTAGTTGGTGATGTTGGGTGGTTTTCAAGAGGGAAATGTCACAGCAAGAGAACACCTGCGACACCAAGGGTCTTGGGTTGGAAGTGTCACCAGAAGTGTGGTGGATGTGTGTCTGTTTCCGCACAGCAGAAGGTGCTGGCTGTGGTGAAAGGGGCCCAGTGAAGTCAATGTGCTGAAAGGTGATGGCCCAGGGACAAGGGAGTGCCGGCCACAGCCTGTGTCAAGCAGGGGCACGGCATCTGCAGTTGAGCTGGAGATCTGGTGAGAGGTACCAGTGGCCTAGGGTCCCCTCTAATGTGGTCACAGCCTCCAGGGGCTGAAGTTGGGGAACACCACTTCAGCTTGAGGGCCAGGATGCTGCCCTCTCCACTCAAGGTGCTGCTCTACCCCTTCTTCTAACCTATCCACATTTTCAGTGTCTTCATGTGTCACCATGAAATCCTTTACTGCCACTCCGAGACAAAATGATCTCCATCTTTCTCCTAAAGTCCAGATGCTTCATGAAGCTGCATTTCATCCGAGACATTTTTCTACATTTCAGACTTCAATGCTTTTAATTTGTTTCTTAAAGGTATGCTGTTACAGGCACTAGACACATAGACTGCCTTACCTCTGTAGGTTTGTTTTTTCCTGTACAGTTTAGTTATAATACAATTTTATATAATTACATGATAATGGTTATAATTCACTTATTCATAATGAATTTATTGATCCCCTGCTATATGTTAGGCTGGGAATCAATATACCCATATACCCGTCTACCTTAATCAGTTCTGGCCAGGTGCAGGCAGCAACCAACGATGGATTCTCCATGACTCCTAAGACATCACCCCGTGGTACCTATGCTGGTAGCTGAGGCTGAACTACCTGAACCGAGGGAATGTATAAAGCCACCAGGAAGGGCCAGCTTGCATATTATAGTGTACACTCTGTAAGTACACTAAAGGAAAAAAGCGCCAGCCTACACACTGAGGAGGATTTGGGATTTTGCTCTCAATCAGCCTCTGCAGGCCCTGGAGTCTAACCATAAAAACACACCAAAGCCATTCAGCCAAGCTGAGATGTGGTGAACACCTGAGTAGCTGGTCAGGTTTGTTGGACTCTCCTGAGTTGAGCACGTGCACGCCGCACATGGTTTCCTAGGGGGGATAGTTACCTCCTTCCCTGGCAGTGAGATGCTTCAATACTAAACCATTGTCTATGAGTAAGAGTTAAAGTGTTTTCCGTAATCTTAAGGTGGGATGAGGCGTCTCAGGTGTTGTTAGGGGTTATCTATGCACTGTGGTATAACCATGAGTGAAACATGCCTCTCAGCTTCTACTGAGGGGAGATAAAAGTTACAGAGAGTAAGTGAAATGTGCAGAAGGTGACATGGTTACAATTCTACATTCAGGGGGAGGTCACTAGGGGGATCTTGCTGCGATTTAAAATTGAAAAATGGAGAAAGACCTCAGTGACAAGGTGAAATTTTAGCTGAAACATCCAGGCCTGGGCAATGAGATGGGTGCCCTTCTGTGGGCAGTGCAGATGCCCCCAGATGGGGTTAGTCCAGCCCACAGGACAGTTTGGAACAATATGGGAAGTACAGCTAGTGCTTGCCTTACGACCACAGTCGGGACCGTGGACCAGTCATAACACGATTTGTTCGTAAGTTGAGTAGGCTATATGTACAGTTGAAGTGGTGCA